CTTTCATACTGTTAGTTTCCTTTTCCAAAATTTAATCTTATCAAAGTAATACATTTATAGTGTTATTGAAAGTTTAAAAAAAATAAAATAGTACTATAAGGCTGTGGTTCTCAACCAAGAGCAGTTGTGCCCCTCAGGGTCATTTGGCAATGGCTGGAAGCGTTTTTAGTTGTCACAACCATCCCTAGTTGCTACTAGCATCCAGTGGGTAGAGGCCTAGGAATTGCTAAACAGTGCACCAGTCAGCGCCCATAACAAATAAATACCTGGCCCAAAACGCTCCTATTTTTAAGGTTTACACTGAAAAATAGCAATCCCCTTTCCATTCCAATCCATCTCCAATTGCCACTCCTCAGTGGCATCCATTTTTATTTTGTTAGATATTTTTTCAGGTACTTACTATCATGTTTCTAAATAACATGCTTCAGCATGTCATTTATTGATTTTTAAACTTTTAGATATTATCCATTGACTTCACAGGATAGAGAATGAATATTTAACTCTCATATACCATGCATTAGTTAGAAATTCTTTATTCTTCAGCTGTAACAGAAAATCTGCCTTATAGCTCTCATTTAATAAGAAGTCTAGAGGCAGGCTATCCAGAGCTGGTGCAGTGGCTCAGCGATATCAGTAACTCAGGCTCTTTCTGTTCAACCAATCTTAGCCTGTTAGCTTGTTGATTCATATTGGCAGTGTGACTGTTGCAGCCTTAGGCATCAATCTGTGTTCAAGACAAAAAGAAGGGGAAGAGGGATGGCAGCCAAATCTGCCTGTTGAATCAAGAAAGTAAAAGTTTTCCCAGAAACTCGTAGTAGATTTCTGATTATATATCATTGACCAGAACAGCCACTTGGTCATTCATAACTACAAGAAAAGCTTGGAAAGGTGGTAACTAGCGTTTCCAGCCTGTAGTGTAAAGCAGCAAGGGAGAAGGGAATTAGAAATAAATGTTAGGTCAGTAAACTAAAGGATTCTGATAACCACCATCCTCCTCCTCAGTATTCATGCCTTTCCCCCTTCTCATTGTCCCAGTGTAGTAAAGACTGGTACCTTTCTAAGTACCTCTGACCCTAGGGTTATTAGTTGTATGATATTTTTGTTTTCTTAGTTTTTTATATCTCATCAATAATTTACCCCCAAATCCTTTGAAATATAAATCTCCTCTTAATACATTCAGACATATCATATACTCTCATTTTTTTTCCTGGATATAATATTCCTGGATTCCCCCATCATCCTGCTCTATGGTATGTCCTTTAGGCCTGTTGAATGTCCTGAAATCTCTCCTCACAACTATTCTGAGACTTTCTTTTGCTTCTCCCCATGAAGAATCCCCTACATCTTGGATTTCCTCTTCCTTGAATTACTCCTTTGTTTAGTGGGGGTAAGGTTTCTTTGAAAGTTTTCTGAGAAAAGGGACATTGAGACAAATGTTCTGAGACTTCGCATGTCTGAAAAATCTACATTTAAGCTGGAGTAATAGTTTGTGTAGATTTGTATTTCTGTTTCAGAAATTATTTTCCTTGGAATTTTGGAGATATTCCTCCACTGTCTTCGAGTTTTCTGATGCTGCTGTTAAAAAGTTTAACCATTCTAATTACTAAAACTTTGAATGAGACCTGTTTTACCTGCCCCCCCCTGGAAGGTTTTAAGATGTTTTCTTTATCCCCAACATTCTGAAGTTTTATAACATGCCTTGGTGCATATGAGTAAAGGGTTAACAAAACCATTTTCCTTCCTCTTATGAAAATGGTGTCCTGTTGATCTCCTAGCACTATTTCTCTGAAATCTACCAGAGGTGGAATGCCTAATGGTAAACTGCCTAATGGTAAACATAACCCTGGATTGGTAATGTGCATCTGAGCTGGGAGGATTGTGAATGTACTGTAAATACTTGGAAGCCATGGCATTGGGCATTCCTGAACGTGTTATGACATACTCAGGTGTTGCTCTTGTTGATTCCTGGAAGCACATTCATTGGCTGGTATAAGGGATACTGTCTTCTGTGACAAATAGATGTGTGGCATGAGGCTACTAAGCTAGCACGGTTCCTGCACTTATCTGTGTAATCTTGTTTCCTTGTAACTGAGCCATCATTTTGGGGGCTAAAGAGCAGCCCTGAACTGCTGTGAGGACTTGCATTGAAAGGATATATCTGATGCTATTCTGCTGCTACACAGTATGCTGTGTTCCCTTCTTGTATTCTTCTGCAAAGCTGAGTAACCTGGTGAGGTGGCAGACTGTTGGGGTCTTATGAGTGTGATTATCTAGCTTAACCCCAAACCATGGCTGCTAGTCAAGCAGAGTGAGTATTGCAGTAGGGCCTCAGAAGTGGAATAGACGTTTAGACCTTGATTCAGTGTGGCCAAGACACTATGTGATAAAAAAGAATAGGTAGGGAAGTGCTGATGAGACTTCATGCCTGGCTGGGGGGCTGATCCACTTAGGATTTAATGGCAGAAGGTGTGTAGCCATTGAGGTGCCTTGGACACAAAATTTAAGGAAGTCCTCAGTCTCAGGGTTATACACCTGCAGCATCTACACATGCATGATCTTAAGAGTGAGTGCCTCCTTCAGGTTTGCAGTCTAGGCACCTCAGTTTCCTCACCGTAGTCCTGGCCCTGAGTTGCAAGTGAGTGAGACTGACTGTTCACCTTGAGGGACAGATGAAGACTGGAGTGAGTAAACTTATGTTGAGAGGAAAAGTGCCCCTTCTCCTCATCAGCCAAACGTTAGACCTGACCAAAAACCAGGCCAGTTGGAGCCAGCTCATGTCAGCTTATGGTAGCTAATTGTGGGCACACATTTCTTCCCAATTCCTCGCACATCACAGTAGCTTGAAATTGACTGTGGTTGAGAGTTTAGCATGCAAATCAGCAAATACTACAAATCAGGACCCCACATTCCCTACCGCAGAACCTGTTCAACTTTACCAGCCCATCACAGCCAGAAACCCAGTTGCAGCTGGGCTGACAAAATGATATCACTTTTGGTGTTCCTGATGCATTCAGCCACATGCCATTTCTGGAAGCATTGGTTATACAGAAATGCTGGCTGCAGTAGCTACAGGCCAAGTAGATCACTGGCATCTGGTTGATTGACAGAAGTGGGCAACAAAACCCACAGAGTCTATGTTTGTGAGTGGGATTCTGATGAACAAAAGAGGTGGAGCCATTGGGTCGATTGAGAATGAGCCAGGGCTCAGATCGGCATGGGCAAGTGCCTTAGGAGCCCCGTGTGAGGAACCGGAAAGGGCCGGCCCACAAGGTCAGACAGAGGCTAGTAGTGTTCAGACCAGCCACAGGGGGAGACCTTCGTGGAGGCTCATGGGTACTGTTTGTTTGGAGAGCTCTGACAAAATCAGGCCAAACTGGAGTCTAACCAGTGTCCTCTACTGCCATCTAGAGATAACTAATGGGAACTGAGGTAAAAAACTAGATGACCATTAAAACTTGATGTCATCTAGTTTTAAAGCTATGCAGTTTGGAACATTGTGAAGGATAATGACCAGGGCTTTTAAAGCATAATCCAAGAGAATATAATCAGAACCTTGTTCCATTGTGACTAACTAATTCTGGATGAAAAAAGACAGTATTTTTAAAAGGGATAAAAAGTTACACTGCACTAAATTTAGTGTAAACACAGTCGTGTGTTATTGTTTTGAATTTGCTTTAATTTCCAAGATAAAAATGTGTTGTGGGCCTTACAAAAACTAGTTAGCTTAAAAAAAAAGTAGTTCCATTGGTTAGGAAGTAGAGAGAATATTAATGTCCCACTAGATAATACAATTCCTGGTGGTCAGAGATACTAATCTTGGTATTAATCCAAGATTATGGGAGTGAACTGTGAGTAAATGGAACCAAAACCCTTTATCCTTTCTCATGGGAAAATTACTGTAGGTTAACCTATACTGTTTTCCTAGAAAAGTTGCTAAAGGTGGCATGTCAGCTGTGTAATTAGGCCACATACCTTGTAAACATGACCCCATTAGAAAACTGCACCTGGATAGGGGAGGACTGTAGATTGATTATAAATACCTAAGGGGGAGCCGTAGCTTTGGGGTTCCCTGCACCTTACAGTGCAGATATAAGGTAAGGTTTATTGGAAGAAAACTTCTAAGCAGAGAAACAGTAGAGCACACATCATCCCTGCATCATTTTTCTTTTTCTTTTTTTTTTTAAGGTTAACAGTTGTTATTAATAACTGTTGAAAACAGAATATTGGAAATCCGATATGAATGTATAAATAATTACCATGGCTATCTCCAAATGCTACNCATGGACAAGGGAAGGGGTATCCTCAAAGGAAAAGGGGTAATATTTGCGATTATGTATTTATCATGTACAGTATTTCACGCATTATATTTCAGATTCACTCAACAGTCTTGAGGGGTTGAGGAAGTCTGATAAGAATATTTTCAAAGCCAGGACCACTCATTTTTTCAATTTCATACTCATTGGTCTTTTCTCTGCACACAAGATTCAGAAGAATTTGAATTACAGGCATAATCATACCTATATCTCACCCAGGGACATTTTACTCTTTCATACCAATAGGTCACAGCTGAGAAAAGTTATAAAAAGCAGTGGAATATACTTCCTACATAAAACAAACATATCCACAGTTGATAGTAAGCAAGGGAGAGATTTTTGGCAGGGCATGAGAGTGTGGGGCCAGTAATGTGAGAGAAAACCATATACACCAAATATCTTATTTCAAGAGTAATTTCCTTTTCCTTTGAAGGTGAAGGCTGAAATGTTAGACATGGCAGATAATGCATTTGATGATGAATACCAGAAATGTACTGACAGGATGGAAATCAAATATGTTCCCCAACTGCTCAAGGAAGAAAAAACAAGCTATCAACCCTTAGAGGATGTGTGGGAAAATGCAAAAGCCAAATGGGAAGCTCGGAAGACTCACATCTTTCTCCCTGTGAGTTTTAAGGATAACCACGGAATAGCCCTGATGGCATATATTTCTGAAGCTCAAGAGCAAACTTCCTTTTACCACCTGTTCAATGAGGCTGTGAAGATGGCTGGCCAATCTCGAAAAGATTATATCTATGGCTTCCAGTTCAAAGCTTTTCATTTTTACCTGACAAAAGCCCTGCAGTTGCTGAGAAGACCTTGTGAGGACAGTTACAAAAATGTGGTGTATAGAACAAGCCCAGGAGCTTCATTTACGTTTGGAGGATTAAACCAAGCCCGATTTGGCCATTTCACCTTGGCATATTCGGCCAAACCTCAAGTTGCAAATGACCAACACATTCTGTTAACCATCCACACATGCTTTGGAGTTGCCATTGAAAAATTTTT